GCTTTTAAATACTTATCAATACCATTTTAAAAAATACTAGTTATACCATTAATAAATGAAAAATATATTATTTAACGGTCATTTTAACTATTTAATTAAGATTTTGAATATTGAAAAGTTTTACTAAATACATTCTTAGAGCTAATGTTAACTTTTATAATTGAAATATATGTTCAAATTAAAATTATAATGAATAATAATAAAAATTTAAATTCACAAAAAAATATACTTTTTATACTTTACTATTTTGAGTTTAAAATTTGTGAGTGTAATATATGACTTAACTAAATAATATGATATTAAATTAAAAATATTGCATTTAGTTGGACTACTAGTATTTTATAGTGATTAATAAATAAAAAGAATATTTTACTTTTAAATTTAAATATATAGTTAGGTGAAGATAAGAATAAGTCCATAAAATAAAATAACTAATAATTTGTCATCTCGCTCATGTAAATGATAGGAGCTTACTATTTCGCTGAAGCTAAACATACATCTCTTAAGTTGTAGATATAATGCTTAAGCAACTACGTCCTCAACTTAAGCAGATTGTGTATCGCTTAAGTTTATAATACTAGCTTAAACCAACAAGTTAAAACTTAAACGATAAACATCTAGCTCAAGTAAAATATATATAACTTAAGCGAAATAAGTCCAGCGTAAGCGAATTAAATAGAACTTCAATGAATAAATTCTAGGTTAAACTAAAAATGTCGCAGTTAAGTTAAAACTATCGTGCTTAAGCTAAAAATATCATACGTTTAAGATAAAATAGCACGCTTAAGCTAAGTCTAAACTGAATCTTAAAGTTACCATATATGCTTATGTGAAACATATTAGTTTATGCTTGTGAGAAAAATCAAGCATTGTTCTGGAATGGAGTAAAGAGGTAAACTACATATGAATCACTGAAGCGGAGATGAACTGCTTGAAGCGGATTTATTTTCTATGTTCAAGGCTTTGTATGATATTCGCTTAAGCAGATATGTACGTGCTTAAGCAAAACAATGACAATAAAAGCTAAAATTTTTCAGATTTATTTCAAGAATGTCTTCCAAGCTATCAATTTTAATTACCACATCATTGTCATCTCTTTCAGGCATTTCACCATTTATATTAGTTTCATTTGCATCATCCGTGTAAGTTTCATCAACTTTAGTTTCGTCTTCATTTTCAAAATGAAATTTACCATCTTCTATGTCTAACAAAATTTCATACAATCCCTATAAGAAAAGCAAACAACACTTTCAAAAATATAATTTAAATCCAAGGTAAAAACATTGCACTACTATTCAATTGACTTTAATGATTGATACCTTTGTTGATCCAAGTACTTCAGAAAAGCAGCTACCTTATGCTACATTACTCATATTATTCTTCATGTATTTATTTATATATTATTAATTTCTAAACACTTTTTGCAAAATCCAAATCATGTCACCCTCTATAAATAAGATGATTAACCTTTTAGAAATTAACATGATGTAGGAGATGTATGACAATTAAAAGTTAAATTCAATTAAACAATATTCTTATCTCAAAAGTCGACAACATAAAATGTCATTATATCTTATAAAATGTTTGCAACTTTGTGCTTGCCAAGTATATTTTATTATTGTCATTTTTACTAATTATAACATGGATTTAAACCTATTTATAGAAAAATAATTAATATTTTTAAATGAAATATCACTTTAACTGAGCTGCAATTCTCTTTAGCTAAACTATACACTCAAGCAAATTGTAACAAGAATTTTAGATTAATCTCTATCTTAGATTAATTTAAGCTACAATCCATATGCTTAAGTAAATATGTGTTAGCTTAAACAAATTTGATTAAAAAAAAATTAGATACATCTCTATCTAAATTTAGCTTAAGCGGACAACGCTGACTTAAGTTAAAATTACAGCAAGTGAATTCTTGCATTTTTTCTAATTCAACAAAATCTCTTTAGTCAATTCTAATAAAATCAAAATAATGATTTTTAAAATAATTGGGATGAGTATACGATATTTTTAAATAGAAAAACTTTACAATTGAAAGTATAATAATCGAAAGGGAGAATGGTTATGTAGGTTTACGGTAGATATGAGAAACGAGAATTCATACTATTAAGGAGGAAAAATAAGAAAGAATTAAAATAGAAGAAAGAGAAATTAAATAAAGCTTTTACAATAATATTCTAAAAGAGAATTATCTGACTTCATTAGATCTCGTCTTGGATCTCTCTTTTTAAACTTTTATTAAGTAAATTTGAACCGTATCATTGAATTTTACATTGAAAACACAAAACAAATTTTTGAATTTCTTTAAAAACAAAGATGGTAGTGAGTTTGAGAGAATATAATATGGCTTCATGTGAATAATAATTATGTTCTTTCTTAACCTTAAAAAGAATTATATTAAAGAAAAACTTATTTTAAATATCTAAGAGATTGATCCTCTATCTGCAAAGTTTATTAAAAATTAATTTTTAAATATTCAAATTTTTAAAACTTATTATAACAAATTATTTTGCTAACTTATTTGTGAGTTACTTAATATGCTAACTCATCCTAACCTTTACCTTAATTAATATATTTATAGTTGTGTTGCCATATATTTTTATGAAAATTAAATTGATTGATGAGAAAAATGTTTAACTATTTCTTTTTTATGTAGCTTTTAAAACTAATATTTTAAGGACAAATTTGAAAATAACGTGTAAGAAAACCATAGTCAATCATATTTATTCTTTCTTTTTTAAAATTAAAAATAGTATTTAGAAATAGAAATCAAACAATTCTACTTTGTAATCTCACACAACAATAATAATAGTAAGTTTTTTTAATTCTTGTAACTGTGATTAAATTTGATTTACTCAATAATACTTAAATATAAGAAATAAATTATAATTTATTCAATATTTTTTAAAAGATCTAAAAATTGTTGTTTAATCTTAATTTTTTTAATTACTATGTAAATGTATTTGTCTTAAATATTTTTAAAAAATTACAACATAACTATTTTCAATTAAGAATATACAAGAAAAAAAATCTCCCTTTTAATTTTATAAATTGGATCTTGGATGATTATTCTTTTAGGCAAATAACAGATAATTCAGAAACATCCAGCTGGAATGAATTCCATGCAATAATGCATTCAAGAAAGCCAGAGTTATATAAGCTATTATCAGATGTAACATAAATATTGTTTGCACTTTTCCATTAATTACTTATGTGCAAAAGAATATTTCTTAATAATATGAACAGTACTCCATTCTACAGATTTAAATATCTAACAATAACTATTTTTAATAAATATATATATATATATATATATATATATATATATATATATATATGCCTGGACAAGGAAGGATTTTACACTATTGACAGAACATATATACGAGTCTGAATTGAAATGGGGTTTGATTGGTTATGGGAATCAGCAATGAATGTCATATGCTGTCTATGCTTCCTTCCTAAGTAAAAGTCATGAATATAGAAATACAATAAATTTTAAAACTATTAGATGCAACTCGTCTATGATATGATTTATAAAATTAATTTCAAATTAACATGAAATAAAAAATTCAAATCACAAAAAAATTAGTTTAAAAATGAGTATAAGTTATCATAAATATAAGAGTATGAATATTTATTGATATGTCACTTAATATTAATATAAAGTTTTAAAATATAATTATAAAAATACATAGTAATCATGACACAACACAAATATTATTTAGAAGTGCCGATACTTAAGTTTCTAATTAACTCCTTAGTATTGTGCGCTTGGATCTGAATTTTTTGCAGCAAAAAATTGATTACACCAGGTTTAATGACAATTCCAACAATCTTTTATATTAAAATACTTATATTTATTATTTTTTAAATAAAAAATGAAATTATTTAAATCGTCAGACGCTCTCATTAATGATGTCACTCCAAAAATGCTTGTCGTGTACTCCCATCATGAGTCATTTCTTTCTTTGCAACTTCCAAGCCCAGACCCGCATGCTGCTATTTGGTGGGGGTCGTTGGAGAGAGCAATTGAAGAATTATAAAAAGAATTTAATGATAAATATCGAATAATAATAAAATTTTATTAAAAAGAGAAAAGTATTATTATATTTTTATAATTTTAATATAATAATTATATATATTTTTATAAAAAAAATTATTTATGAATATTTAAATTTAACTTTAAAAACTGAAATTAATAAATTTTTTATAAAAAATTAAAATAAAAAATAATATTAATTTAAAATTTAATTTTGGGGTCAATCAGGGTATAACCATTCCGTGACATGGAGTTTGCGGGTGAATGGAAGGAAGGGAGAGGCCCCACTTTCTTCCGTATCGTGAAATAAAGAATATGACTTATGAGAACATGGCATTGGCATAATGCCAATGTGTAATGGCCGCAATAGCCGCAATTTTAATCTGGTTACACACTTTCTCATTTATTTATTCAAACTAGATAATTAGCCGATGTGACAAGTTTTAAGAAAAATACACAATAATTAAAATTCTTTTCGTTGATGAACTGGTATTTTGTTTTTAACTGTTGAATAGAAAACTTTTATTTATTTCAAAATACTACACGATGCTAATCATAGGCAGCATATGTACACATAATCCTCATTGAATATTATTATATTATTTTAACTTCTTCAGCCTTTTTATTTAAATATTACAAATTTTGACTGAAATCTGTTTTTCTTCTACTGTTTAACTCTATTTTCGTTTTCAAGATGTTATGAATTATGATACAAATTTTTATTGACTAGAGAAGAAAGCAAAAAGAAAAAAAAAACTAGGTATAATTCGAAATATAAGTGGTCGATGACTTGGGTTAGACTTGTGCAAGTAGAGTAGCGAAGCCAACGTACAACACAAGGGGAAACCAAAAGCCATGCACAGCAAAGCATTATAAATAGGACACTGCTTAAGGATATTTAATTTATTACTGAAGCTATAGGCATATATCCTTTTTGTTTTTTTGTTCCCAAATGGAAATTCCTTTATCCTCTTTTCAGAGTAGAGTTCAAAAGATTAAGAGAAAGATATTCTCCTCTGACATTGATCTCTACTCATTTGTATGTCCTTCTGCCTATGACACTGCATGGTTAGCTATAATACCCGATTCAAGAAACCCTTCCCACCCTATGTTCAAGAATTACTTGGACTGGTTGCTTAACAACCAGAAACCGGAAGGGTTTTGGGGAGAGTGTGACACCTTTGGCCAACCCACGATTGAATCCCTTCCTGCAACTCTTGCTTCCATGGTTGCACTCAAAAAGTGGAACACTGGCAAGCTACTAGTAGAGAAAGGTATAATCATGGTCGTTAGAATATTTTATTACTAGTAATGTTACTTAGAAGGAATGATTTTTTAACCAATTAAAATAAATATTTAAACATAGAAGTAGAGAGAAAATTATCTTGGGAGAAATATTGTTTGTACATTTAAATATGTTTTTCTTGTACAACTTTTTTTTCCTTTTTTATATGTTTTTTTCATTTATTTTCTTCGTTAAACATTGTTTGTGTTAAATTTTTATGCTATTAAATATTATGACTTTCATATTTGTTTCTTTAAATATCATAATATTTCAAAATATGAGAGAAAAAATTAATGAATTTTTATAATATTTAAGTAAGCCAAAAAGTAAGGTAATTAAAATAATCGATAATAGTCAAAATATACTAATCACTAGTAGATGCACTGTATAGTTATTTATAACATGAATTTTTATTTCGTATATTTTTTAAATTTCACTTAAATTTAAATATTATAAAACATACAAAAAAATTACAAAAGCAACAATGGTACAAATTAGGGAAAAAATGATCGTTGTAAAAACTTTTTAGTATTTACAAATCACTTTTTAAACATCAATAATTGATCATTACATAGTCTACCATGCACATGATAAGAATAACTTTCAGAGTTTGAGCTTGTATCTTGAATGTGAGCTTTTATTTGGTGGGTAAAGCATCCCCATGAATCCATGATGACTTTCACGGCTTAAGCTTATTTTCTTGTTCATTTTATAATTTTTTTAATTATTACATACTATTTCTTAAACATTAATAATTGATCATTACATAAATTTTTCATGCACATGATAAAACATTCTATAGAGTTTTAGCTTTTATCTTGTATTGGTGCTTTTATTTGGTAGATAATAAAGCATCTCCATGATGAGTTTGACGGCTTGAGCATATTTTTACTCTTACATATATAAAATTAAATATTTATCATGTATCATTTTCCAGTTCATATATATTAAATTTTATATAATTTAAATATTTGTAACTATGCTATTTTAAATTTAATTTTTTATGATTTAAAAATATATTATTAAATAAAATAATATAATATAATGAAATACTTATTGGTTTATTTTTATAAGTTTTTGTAAAGTTAATTAATTTAATAAGAACTTTTAAATTAACAGCTAAATCTCTCTCTCTCTCTCTCTCTCTCACACACACACACACACACACATATATATAACAAAGATTTAAATAACAAAGATTTAAATAACAATCATACATAAACAGGTATACATGTTTTTAAGTTTGGTTATTTTTAATCTCAAATGTAATTTAAATTCATAAATATTACTTTTAATTTTAATTACTAAAATTTGAGATTCAATTTGAATTTTTTAAAGTGGAATAATTTAAAATAAATGTAAAGTATTTTTTAAATATTGGTTAAAAAATAAACATAACAAATACTTTAGAAAAATATTATATATATATATATATATATATATATATATATAACTATTTCATACTTAATTTTTAAATAGTAAACTTGTTAACTGTTTATATACCATTGAACGTCTAGATTAACTGGCATTATATTGTCCTTATGTGGAGGATATACCCCTGATGTGGCCTAAATAAACGAAATTTTTAAAAATCATGAAATCGCGTTTACCATTTGTCATCTATGACAGTAAAGCTTGCGTGACATACTGTTCTTCTAGCTAGCACTTTTTATGCTTTTCTTTTTTCTCGTCTTTTTCTTATCCAAATCCACCTTTCTGTCTCTCAAATCGTTTCATCTTTGATCGATCTCAATAATCAATTAATCGTGACCCCAGCTTACACAAATTCGTCTTCCCTCATCATTAAACAACTTTTCGTCTTTATTAAAAAATTAGTTCATACACACCACTGAAAAAGATACAAGTTCATACACACCTTGACCATGTTTATAAAATTATAATCTTATTTTTCCTTCCTCTATTTTCAATATATTCTACTTAGGGTTTTCTTGCATATATAATTTCTGTCTTCCGTTTAGCTAAACATGGAATTCATAAGCAGTGTTCCTCTTCAATTTTTCATTTTTGCTTCCGCTTACCACAAAGGCACTCACATTTGATAATTAATTAAGGATATGATTATATTCAATTCACTCATTTAACTTGATAAATCATTTAGGACATTATTTCCTGAATTTGTAGGACGGTCATTTATTCGTGGAAACGCCGATAAACTGCTCAATGAAGTCAAAGACGATTACCCTCGTTGGTTCTTCATTGTTCTTCCGGCCATGGTTGAACTTGCCGACACAATGGGTTTAGATGTTGACTTCCCCGAAGCATCAAGGGATAAAATGTTATACATCTTTAGCTGTCGGAGAAAATTTCTCAACAACAACGGGTACTTATAATTATCCTATATCGAAATGCTTGTGAATTCATTGAATCTTTAAAAAATGCACTAAAAACATTCCACAATTGCATGAATACATAATTGTAGGCATGGAGTTGAAGGAGGTATACGTTGTTACCCTCCGTTACTGGCAAACCTTGAAGCTTTGCCTCCATCATATGTGAGTGAAGAAGATATAGGTAGAAATTTGAGCAGCGATGGGTCATTGTTCCAATCCCCTTCCGCCACGGCAAAAGCATTCATGGCGTTTGGAAAGAAAGAATGCCTCACGTATCTTCAGTCCTTAGCACAAAGATGCCCAAACGGAGGTTTTCATCGTATCATTTAAAAATAATTCTTTAAATACACATTTAAATAAATTATATATCAAAATACATTTTAATTGTTTTGGGTCATTTTGGCCTTTTTTGGGTCATGCAGTTCCACAGGAATATCCCGTGGACGAGGAACTTATAAAGCTCTGCATGGTCAACCACTTGCAGAGGTTGGGGTTGGGCGAGTACTTCAAAAGGGAAATTGACATACTTCTGACACAACTTTATAGGTAAAACCCATCTTCTACAATACATTATAGGATAGCTCCCATGTGATTCAAAATATTAGACACCAGTTGTGATTCTTAAAACCTATGTTCTATTTAATAAATCAAGTCTTATATTATAAAATTTATAACCTAAAAATATAATAAATACATTTTAATAAAATTTTATTATTATTAGTTCTTTATCTTCATTTTTATTTAATTATAAACATTATAGTATTATGTGAATTTCTCAAATTTAACGAGTGTTTTTGTGATTTTTTACATTAAAATTAATTTCTAATTGATAATTCAATTAAATAATATTTTTTATTATTTTAATTATTATTTATATAAATTTTTAATCAATATTAAGTATAATAAAAATGATTCATACTACTTACAAAGTTTGGTCCATCTCCTAATAGTGTTGATAAATATGCTAACTTTCTATGCCTCGATTGCCAAAATAATATTAACCAGCTGATATATTTGATTTGTACTTGATTTTAGGAATTATAATATGGAGCAAAATTCACGGGTAAAAAAAGAACCCAATTTGAGTGCCGCGCAGCTTCACAAAAATTCTCTTGCATTTCATCTCCTGCGGACTCATGGACACAAAGTATCACCATGTAAGGCAAAAATTCTCTCGTTGTATGTATCAATATATTAGTCTTTTTTTCAAATTTAAATTAATAAGTTATTTTCTAAAAAGTTTAAATTATTATCATATTATTTTTTAATGATTTTATAGTTAACTTAATTTTTTATAATTTTTAAGAGACTAATTTTGCATAATATTAAATCATTAAAGAACTTATAAAAAGACCATTAAAAAACTAATTCACTTATAAATTTTTTAATGAACTAAAGTAAAAGTAGTAATAAAACGTATATTTAAAAACAATTTAATGACAATTTTTTAGAAAATCAATAGGATGATACATGAAATTTTAAAATAACAATTTAAGAAATTCTCTAATTTATAATGCAATTTTACAAAAAAAAATGTGTACGAAACGTGCCCCCCCCCCCCCCCCCCCCTCCTCTCTGTCTCTCTCTTTATTTTAGGCACATACCAAACTGACTCTGACTAAAAATATGTCTTATAAATGCAGTAAGCTTTTGTTGGTTTCTACGTCACGATGAAATTCGAGCTCAAGTTGAGAAAGATTATGAGCACTTCTCAAGTGCATTGCTTCACGTCTTTAGAGCCTCAAATCTTATGTTCTGTGGAGAACATGAACTTGAAGAAGCTAAAACCTTTTCAAAAAGACTAATTGAGAAAATCATTTACACAGAAAATGGACACCGACCACAGGTCAAAGCGCGCTTTCTTTTTTGTGGCCGGCCATTATGTTTGAACTCATGATCGACAACACCAATCATTTATTGGGACTATGTATCCAATTTCGATTGTGTGTGTGTGTGTGTGTGAACCTTCGCATAACTTACATATAATTTGAGTTGAAGTTTAATTTTTCTTTTCTTATGAGTACATATTAAATGGGCCAATTTGAAATCGAAGGATGTGGAGAGTTCACCTCCTAATTTTTTTTTTTGGAGACCAAGAAAAGAAAAAGTAGAATGTGATTCTTTACTTAATTAATGAAATGAAACATTGAAGAGATTAGGTTTGCAATAACAAAATTTTTAATTTTATATATTTACATTTGCACCCACTTAACTTATATGTAAACTATTGTTACTAGAAGATTTATTCTTACAGAAATCACAGCTTTATAGTACTAATATATAGTAATGAATTGAAGTTTAACCTTCAGACTTCAATGCTTGAATTTGTAGATGGAGCATGAGTTGAATCTTCCATGGTTTGTTCGCCTGGATCATTTAGATCACAGAACGTGGATAGAAGATAAAGACGCCAATGCTCTATGGAAAGGAAAGGCATCATATAATAGGTATATACGTATATATAAAACAGTTACGTTTCTACTTATTTATCTTCCATTTCAACACAATTATAAGACAAATTTTCTATTTGTAGGATATCATATCACTATAACGATGAATTGCTACATCTTGCCACACAAAACTTTGAGTTCAAGCAATCATTATACAAAAATGAGCTGAAGGAACTGAAGAGGTCTAGTACAGTGTCTAACATTTTTTTCCCCTTTAATCAAGAAAAAAATCATTACTACCTTCAAATTTTGAATATAATTACTCAATTGGCTCATGGTGCTTTGCATTTCAATTTTGAGATGTAGGTGGGCTGAAGATTGCGGGATTAGTAATATGGGATTTGGCAGAGAAAAAACTACTTATTGTTACTTTGCTGTTGCTGCTGCAACTAGCTCATGGCTCCCCCATGATTCTTACGTACGAATGCTTGTGACTAAGAGTGCAGTTATAATCACAGTGGCAGATGATTTCTTTGATATGATGGGGTCTATCAGTGAATTGGAAATTCTCTCGGATGCAGTTGGAAGGTGCAAATTTTCTTACTTCTCCCACATTCCCTGTCTCTTTCACATTCACACACTTTCAAAAATTGATTGCTTGTGATGAAGTATATCCCCAAATTTTCACTCAATAGCTTAACCATTCTTCAAAATATTAAAATCTCTAATCTAAACTTTTTTGTTTAAAACAAAAGATGGGATTCCAGGGGACTAAGTGGCCACAGCAAAGTTATATTTGATGCCCTTGACAATCTTGTGAGTGAAGTTACTAGTAAATATCTCCAACAAGAAGAAACAACAGATATATCACACAACTTGAAAGATCTAGTAAGAATTACAAATATATCTAGTTTTCAATATTTATATACTATCAAATTTAAATATAGAAGTGTAATAACATTGGAAAATGTATTGCATGTATGAAGTGGCATGAAACTTTCCTTTCGTGGCTCATAGAAGCACAGTGGAGCAGAAATAGACACACACCATCCATTGATTGTTACCTGAAGACCGGCATGATCTCCATTGCCACACATAACATAGTGCTTCCGGCATCATGTTTTCTAAAACCAAGCTTACCAACTAAGAAACTCAGGCCAATCCAATATGATCCCATCACAGAATTGCTTATGGTCACTTCTCGCCTTTTAAATGATGTAGAGAGCTACAAGGTAAACTTATCGAGTTAACTTGGAAAAAGAAGTCATCTCTTTTTTTTTTTAATTATTGATCTTGTTAATATTAGTTCTTAAGGTTCATTTTAAGTATTTAAAATTAATATATATTTTTTTTTATTAAAATCACTTTTTTTAATTATTGATCTTGTTAATATTAGTTCTTAGGTTGATTTTAAGTATTTAAAATTAATATTTTTATTAAAAATAAAAATATTTATTAAATTAAAAATAAAATAAATACTTTAATTTTTAATTAAAAATACTTTTTTTGAATACTTGTAAAATGAGTGATATTCACATCTTTCTATTTATTGTGTATTTATATTTAATTGACTTTTCATGGAACTCAATTCGACTTGGTTATTTTGTTGGATTGTGATGTACTTTTGCAGAAGGAAAAGGAAGATGGAAAATTTAATTCTGTTTTGGTGAACTTGATAGAGAACCCGGAACATGATATTGAAGATTCAATTGCTTTTGTGAGAGAGATAATTGAGAAAAAGAGGAAAGAGTTCCTTGAACATGTTCTGATTGATGGACTATGTGATTTGCCTAAGCCTTGCAAGCAACTTCATCTATCATGCTTGAAAGTTTTTAACATGTTTTTCAACTCTCGAAACATATATGACTCCAATACAGAGTTGGTGGAGGATATAAACAAAGCAATATATCTTCCTTTGAGCAAAACTAAGAAGCGTCCTTCACTTCATCCACCCCCAAAGAAGAGTGATACGACAGCAAAATTCCAGTTTGGTTTGTCGTTCAAACAACATAATAGCAGGATGAGTTTCACAGCACATCAAGTTGCTACTTCTACCTTAAGAAATGGATTTTGCATGACATTTATTGCACCTAAGATTGGGCTTGGCTTCATTTAAATTAAACGAAGAAAATCTAATTATATAGAAAATATGAAAATCTTCTACTATGTCTTCTAGCCACTAACATAAACTATATATGTGTGTGCATTGCATAATGTGAATTAAGATTAATTGGGTAAGCAGCTCGCGACTCTATGGGAAGCAAACTGGAAGAATAAAGATGAATTTCAGTGTTATTTAAAGTGTGTATGTATTGCAGTTATGGTTTACTATTATCCAAGTCAAACCATCTCATCTTAGAAATTGTTTTATGTGAATGTTGTCAACTTTGTGTCTATAAGTTCGTTTTGTAAAATTGTTGCAATGCTGAACCAACATTTGGGAAGACCTTCCAAGTGCAATAGCCAGCTCAAAAATAAGCGTTTCAATTGCTTCAATTGCCTCTCTTTAATTTGTATGTTTAGTGGGTTTTATGGGAAAAAGTATAAGGTGATTTAGGACCACAAGGTGCTTTGCACAAACTTATTTTGTGTTTTTGGGTTTATATTCGTTACTATTAAAGAATACTTGCTCATGAATTATCTACAATAGGCTATATTCTGACAAATAATAGATTTATTACATGAAGTAACATTGCTATCATTAATTGATATATATAAAGATTTTCTTACACTAGTTGTTGTGTAAGTTTAAAAACTTTTATAATTTATTATTTTACTAGTTATTAGTTATAAATTAAATAAAAGGTTTAGATCAAGTATTAAATTTTTTAAAATTACATTAATATAAAATATTTGTTTATATATATATATATTATTGTAAAATAATATATTTAACAACCTAAATAAATAAAATTGAACACGTTGACTTAACTTGGGTGAATTTTATGAAAAGTGAGACCAACTATTTGTCATTATTTGCCTTTTTTGTCATAATTATAGAAATGATATAATACTGAATTGGCAATGATCTAATGCAGAAACTACATGTAGATGAGCCATACAAAGTTTTCAAAATCAGGACCCATTAAATGGAAACCATTTTCAACTTACTTTAGCGAAATAAGTCTGTTCACCAGGAACCTTTATTTTAATCAAACAAATTTATATGCTAATCAAATAATTATAAACTAGTTGAAATTACGGTTGAATATTAACACTATATTTGTTTTGTATTCCTTATTTTACTTACAATATATTCTTATTGAGTAAATTGTTATATATTAACTTCTGTCTTTAATCAGTCAAGCTTTTTATTACTTCCATTTTAAATTTATTTTAACAATTAAAATTTTGTCCATATAAATTAAAAGTGTATAGTATTAATTAAATATTGGCACTACACAGATATTTTTCTAACTTTATCTTAAATTTTTATCATCCAAGAAAAATACGTAACAATTATATAGTTTTAAATAAATTTTTACCTAAATCGTTATAAGTAAAACATTTTAATAAAATGAAATTTAACTTAGACTGGGAAAAAAAAAACATTTCAATATCTGTAGCTCCCATTTCGATTTATATGTGTGTGAGATCTAGATAATAAATTACAGAAGAATCTATTTGCCCCACTTTACCTATTAGCCAGAATTATATATATGACAATAGTTGCTGAGTTTATGCATTAGAAGATTGCTTTATGAAGCCTCTCGGAATTTGATTGATTTATTTATTTTTTTTTACATGCAGAAGAAGATCCTTTTCATTTAGAAAAAAATCAACACCTTTTTACTTTTCATGATATATTGGCTAAGGATAAACTGAGAAAAAATAAAAAAGAAATAACATTGACATCTATTTTTATTAACTAATATTGAGGGGGAAAATATTGCTCCGGTCAATCGAAACTAGTAACTCTTTTATTCATTATAGATTATATTTGTTCTTAATTGGTCACTTAACATTTTGGTAAGATACACGCTAGTATTGCAAGACAAGAGCAAAATCTTCTTTCAGGGATTCACAAAGACCACTCAGTATACATCACAGTCTTGGTTATTATTTTGTGGAGGGTGGTGATTCTCCGAGAAGAAAGGAAGAGAACAATGCCAGTGAGTTGCTTGGTTTGAAACAGGGCACTGCATGGCCAGCTCCTCGAAATGTCGCAAACGTAAGTCCCTGATATTCTTGATACCACCCACTAACCTGTTCCAAGGAGAAAATATGTATATCATTTGAAAATAATTGACGACATCTATTAAGTATCAATTTTATATCTTTACAAGATATTAAATTTATGATCATTATTTTCAAGTTCGTATTTAAAATACTTTTGAATTTGGTAGATAGCATAGTTTTTTTTTACATTCACAGTGTACTGAAATAAATTCATAATTTATGATATGTGATATTTGAAAATGTGATCTTCGAAGATGCAATCAAGTTATTTCGATACAGAAACATTGCCCAAACGAAATCCCAAAAGTTAATTAGCAAGTATGCCATGTACGAATTTTTTTTAAAATTTAAGATAAATTTAAACATAATGAATAAGAGACATTTTTAAAATTATAATATAAATATACATAATTAATTTTAATAAATAGGCATAAAAATATAAAAAAAATTGAAAAGAAAAGAGTATATATATTTTTTAAAATAATTTGAAAGTATAATTAAACGATATGAAAGGAAAACATTACAATATAATATTCACAAGTAATTAAAGCTGAGATTTAGAGAAAAAAAGTCTTAATATAAATAAAATCTTTCAAGTTAATTTGAAAGTTGTTTTTAAAATATATCACGATTCACGTGCTACAAGAAGAATGATATTATAAAGAATGTTCTCTTATATAAAAATAAAAATATAAATTTATAATAAAGGTGATTTCTTTTTAATTACCATAAAACTTAATATAACTATTTTATCTTTTCAACATTTTGTCATTTCTTAGAACGTCATTATATACACAAACTGCAATTATTTTTACTGAAGATTTTGTTTTAACTTAGATGAGACTTTACTAAATAAGTTAACACAGTTGGTCAACCATATTTTCAAAGTTAATGAAGTGTTATTATAATTAAATTATTTATTGAGTAATGCTAATAATACATTTTTAGTGTATTTTTTATTATTAACTAAAATTTATTAAAAATTAAAAATTATGAGAAAAATATTAATTTAAGAGTGAGAAAAAAGTAAAATTTTTATAATTTTTAATAAATTTTAATTTATAATAAAAGATGGGTTAGAGATGTCATCAGTATTCTTCTTTTACAGTTTAAGTTAAGTAACGAGAAGCACAAGCTAGAAATTAGGCAGCATGGCTTCAATCAATTCATGAGCTTACCTCCTTTTCATGGTACCAAGGCCTCCATCGCTTAGTAATAGGCAAACCTAGCATATTTAAGCTGTATCTTGTAGACAACACTGGCACTCTACCATCGGTGTCTCCACTGAACGGTCAACAATTAAAGGAGAAAGAAACTATGAGAAAAAGTGGCACATGGCCTTCTAATCTGCATGTTGAAATTGAATAGTATATTTACCTGTAAACCCAAATCCTAAGTCCTGCTGAAATAAGCTTCTTGTAAATTGGGATAACAGAAGGTTTTGATTGTTTCCAGCCCTTGAATATTTGTTGGCTGATTTTAATTAACAATTAAGAGAGATTAATTTAGAGAAAATACAACAAAATATTTTATGAATTCTCACATCATAAAATAAATGAAGTTTTTCAAACTCTATATAGATATATAAATCCACTTCTAACTAACATGACCAAATGAAAGTGAAAATAGACAATAGTGTACTTGCAAATGCTCCAATTCTTCAGATTGTGACCGTCACTGGCATGGAGGGCTTTCTGAACATCTGGTCTATTATAAAAAGTTTTAGCATAGTCATCCAGACATGGGTCATAACCACCCATGATCCGAGGCAGCTAGTCAACCAAAGTCACAAGTGTTAGAACAGCATATACCTTAATGTATACTATTCAAAATTAGTGATGAGTGGCCATCAATATTTATTTTTAATAAACTATCTAATAAAGCATATTAAAACATTCTTAACCTATCTATAGATAGAACTTCAGTTACAAGTTTCTTAATCCCATTATAACTGAATTGTCTCATTATTTTTTCTGGGACCACTTACCATTTTAGATGAGTACTTCATGACCATTTGCATGGTTTGATCATTTGAACGCGCTGTGCTGGCAAAGCAGACAGAGGTGTAGAGGCTGTAGATATCAATTTCATTGTACTGTTTGAGTACTTCATCCACTCCTTTGCTACAATTTTTATTACTCCATGGATCACTGCTGTTAAAGTCACAACTACTTCTGATTGTTTTGTAAGTTTCATCAGATACCACTGCATGGCTCCAAGCATAATCAACTAGACCTAACCAATCCTCAGCATCAGATGTTTCAGGGTTGCCCAGCTGCAAAAATTGAAAAAGAATAATTAACTTATGTTATTTTCAATCTAGTGTGGTTAATGTTAAATTAATGAGAAGGATTAATTAACTACCAGAGATTAGACTCTGAATCATAAATATTGATGACAATATATACCGAATTTTCTTTGCACAGATGCTCATTGAACATGATCCATGTGACTTGTGAGTAATAGATCTATTGTTCAAATCATACCGATGAACTATAGACTAGCATAGAGATAGGCTGAACTACAAGGGAAATATTCTTAGTAAAGTAAGATTCTATATTTTTCTTACTGTTCATTTGTTTGACGCAAAAATCACGTTAATTTGAGGTCTAGGGAATTTATTCTAACAGTAACATGTTTGACTCTCTTTTTTTGTCTTGAAATTAATTTTGCTCATCGCAGAATCAATTTTAAGAGATTTTTTTTTGTGTGTGATGGCAATAATCGATTTTAAATATATTTATATTTACACTTTAAAAGTAATTCTATCTTAATTAAATCATTTTTTAAACTTATGTTTAAAACATCATTCTCAAACACAAATTAATTGTTTTAATATCAATTCCTTTTGTAAGATAAATCATACTTGATTCATTTAAAATTAATTTTTTCGAAATCAGAAATAAACGGAATATTATAGGTTAGCTTTATTTGCAATTATGTGTGTAGGACTGTACCAAAATGCCCTTGAGATCAATGTGAAGGGAAGGGTCCTTGTTTCTATCGTGGATGAGTTCAGCCAGCTCTGGAATATACTTTCCTGAAAAGCATGCATGTTTCATGTCAATTTAGAGGACTAAAAATGACGAATTCATCGATCTGTTGTTAATTTCAATACCTGCATAGCTCTCCCCAGCTATGTAAAATGTCCTTGTTCTATATGATGGAAATTTGAGGAACCAATTGTGCAGAAAAGTGTAAGTATCATTAGCTGTTTCAAACAGTGGAGGACAGCGCACAGTTAAATTTGTCAGAGAATTTTGCATAAGCTAGCAAGGAACAATATTAATTAATTGTAAACTTCATTAAATAAAAAAATTAATTAATTAATTATTCTCTAAAATTATGTCACTTTTTGTTTAAATTCTTATAAAATAATTATTGAATTTTAATCCTTGCATTAAAAAAACACGTGATTTAAATAAAATTTTAAAGGGATTAAAATTAAAATTAATGATATTTTTATGAACTAGTTATTTATTTAAACCACTAAAGAATAGAAACAGATGCTACTAATTACGCAACAAACAAAGATATTTAAATTAAGAAAAAACCTGTGAAGTCATCTCCCAGGAGTGCATATTCACTGGTTGTATTTGAGTAGGAAAAGCCAACCCCAACAGGAGATTCCAGGAACAACATGTTGGCTTCTGCATTGTCACGATTTACTAATATCAACAATTCTAAGCATCAATTAACGATGCTCTGAAGGGACCGTATGATAAAATTAATGGAGCACTAGTGTGTGATTCGACATCAGAATTTTATCATATATAATAGCATAGAAAGCAGTAAGGTAAGGTAGACTATGCCAAAAGATATAACAGATACAACTTTAATTTTCTAATATATATTAATCTCTCTTTTGGAGACTTATCTCACATCCTCCGACAGTGGTATTTTTGTAATAGATGTGGTGGTGGCCCTTGTAGGGGGGGTACCTTGGTTCCATGAAAAGTTGTTAGATTTAAGTCCCTTGCCATCAGTGTCCACTAAAAATGGGCCAATCTCCTGTGTTGCTCCATATCCCACAGAAGAGCAGCCAGGACCTAAAAAACACAAGTTGTCAGAACATATATTAAAAGAAACAAACACCAAATGAAATCAGCCGGATTTTGAACTTTTTCAAACAAGCTCATAATAAAGCCACCTCAAACTCTCCCCCACCACTTACCAAAAGTTCAAGAATATGAGGTCAAATTTTATCCATATATAAACTTGTTAATAAAGTATCATTTTTACAACATGTGCAATATTATATTAAATAATTTTTAATAAAAATTTCCTATATTTACTTTTTTATTCTATATAATATTACATAACAAAAAATTCGACAAAATATTTATAAATTTCCTTAAAATATTGATTAAATATTTCAAATAAGATAATTTTTATTCAAAAATATATTGTAGGTATATTTTTATTATCATTTTAGTATTTTAATATATTTTTAAAATTTATTAATAATTTATTAAATAATATTTTTAAGATATTAATTGACTAAGACTTAATTTCTTATTCGAGTTTTGTTCTGGCAACCTTCAAAATTCTCAACATTGCTTATATTCACCGCAACTTTATTTAATTAATTTTTTAATTATTAATTTGATTAATAAAAAGTTAAATTATACTTTAAATTTTTACATTTAGTGTATTTTATATTAAAACTATATATTTTGGCTCTACATAAAAAAAATACAAATTGCTTCTTTTTAATAAAATTATAATGATATTAGTATTATTTTTTTTTATGTAGAGACTAAAATAAAACAAGTATGTTATGCATAGAGAAAATGCAAGGAGAATGTTTTTTTAAAATGATAGAAAGAAATCAAATTTAGTATTATTCTAAAAATTGACAAATTGTAACAATTAATTTATGAATAAATTTTTAATTAAGATGTGATCGATAAAACTAACAAATAAGTTAAAAAAATTAATCAATTAAATTAAATGTATTTTGTAAAATGAGTTGTTATATTACCTAATAAATAAAAATAATAAATAAAGACATGATAATTAAGTAAATCAAAAATTCAAATTATTATTTATATATTTTTTATAAAAAATATAATTTTCATATTTTAATATATTTAAAATTATTTATCATCTTTAAATTAAGATAATTTTTTATTTGATTCTTAATTATAAATATTTTACTATAAAAAATAATCCTCAATAAATTTATTAAATTATATTTAAGACATAAATAATTTAATATTATTTAAAATAATAAATATTATGATATTTATTTTTTATTATTTTTGATTTATTTTATTTTTTCAATGTAAAAAAATAATAAAACATAAAAATTAAATGAATAAAACAAGACAAAATCAGTTAAAAAAAATAGTATAAGTAATGTTTAAAAAAGTTAATAATTATTCATTTCAGCTACTCTATCAAACAATATTATTTTTATGAAATAATGTTTTTATGCAGAAAAATAAGTTTTTATCTGTCCGGAATATCTTGCCAAATATATTCTTAATTATGTCATTCTCAAAGACAACAAAAATGAAAAAAGAAACTAAAGTTTTGATTAAAAATAAGTGAAAAACATATTTAAACTTAATTAAAATAGGCAAGGGAGACTGGCAAAAGCAAATGATGAGCTAGCTTACCTCCATTGAGCCACAGCACCAATGGCTTCTCTTGAGGATTGGTCATGGCCTCGTAGAACCAGTAAAAGAGAGCTCGTCCATTGGTTTCGTTGACTGTAACGTATCCAGCATAGTGCTGAAAATCTACACGAGGCTGTTCAGGCAAGTCAGTCACAAGATCACCATTATGCCCAGAGCTCAATTTCATCACCCCACCCTTCAAAAATAGAAAAAGTATAAAAGCCAAAGTGTAGATGTTATTATCCATTTATATTAGAAATTGAATATCTTGCTTCTACTTGATTGATAGACAGAGAGAGAACTACGTACCTATTTATACTGATGAAGGACTACTGAGTGCTGTGGGTAGAAATTCTAGAAAAGTAGATAGGATGGGAGTGTCCTACCTGGCAATGTCTTTATCCCTCTCTTCTTCACAGCCTCAAGATGATATGACCCTTGTCATGGGTGTTTATGTAGCTTCTAGAGCATTCATGCATGCAACAAAATTGGTGGAACCACCAATTCTGGTAATAAACGCTGCTTCTCCTTGAATAATTATCATGTAAGATCAATATTTCAGAGACGTTATAGTCCTTTGCATTTTAGAAGGGGGAAACAATGTATGATATGATTGATTGTCCTAATCTTTACCAAATATATTCGATAGATAGGTATTTCATATTTTAGAATTAATAGCCTTCCCTTTTTCTTTCATAAATTCATCTTTATTGCATATTTATAAATTATTTTTTAAAAGTAACATAATTTTTAATTTATTTTCTTATTTAATATTATTTTACTATTTTAAGATAGATATATTCTTCTCTTCATTTAAATAAACAGTATAACTCACTTTCCGTTGTAAAAATATATTAACTTATTAGTTTTTCACATTCTATTACATACGATAGTTATTTTTAAATATTTTAATAATTAAGTATGATATTGAGAAAATTATTAAAAATTAAATTAATATTATTAGCATTTAAAAGCTTTTTTAAATTAATCCTATTTAATATGATTAGTAATTAATTTTTTATTTTAATTTATTAAATTAAAATATATGATAATCTTTTAAATAAAAAATTTAAAAATTAATCTAGATACTTTTTTTAGTTTTTTAAAATTGTTAAACTCACATAATTTAATTTTTAATTTTGCAAAAAATTTACTTTAGTTCTTAATATTTTAAAAAATAGTTATTTTAATTTTTTACTTAAATTTTTGTTGACATTTTATATTAAAAATCAAAATAAACATCATTTTACAAAATCATAAATTAAATTAATTTTTTTTATAAAACAAAGAACTAAAATAATAGATATTTACAAATTTAAGGATTAAAATAAAAAATATTTATTATTTTAATTTAATAACATCCAATACAATGGATGAGAACGTCACTAAAGTATAACTGGGGGGAACCTTGTATAGATACAAGACAAACTAAGAAGAAAGCAAACAAACCAACGGAAGGGACGTTCTCCATTCAATTCAATGCAAACCACAAAAGTTGATTTCAAAAATTGTAAACATTTAAAAAAAATTATTGGATTGGATTGGATTTAGATCCTATGTATTTTGAAAACTATCCAATCGAAACTAAATTTATATATGTATATATAATGTTATTTATAAAAACTAGCATTTCACTCTTAAATTATACATTAATAAAATTGTAATACTTAACTATTTCTTTATAATTTTATTTTTAAACTTTTATCGTATTATTACTTCTTTAAATACATTTTATTATTTTGATTATTATATACGTATATTTTTTATAATAATATAAAATTATTGTTGTATATGATACTCTTTATATAAATTTTATATTTTGCATAAACAAGTAACTTTATTTTTAAAAATAGTGTAGTTGAAATGATAAAATAATTTATTTATTATTTTTAATTAAATTAAAAATAAAATTATCCAACCTAATTTAAACTGATTTTGATTGGAGTAAATTGGATTGAGTTTTTTTAACTGAACTAAATTGAAACGCAATATAATTTTATCTAATCCAATCCGTGAAAACCCTTAATACTAATTAATATATTATTTTTCGGATCGAGATTTCTAAACTGAGAGTGAACCATCTTTTTCCTTTAGATTTATTCTAATATTTATTCTGCAATCATCAATCCCATCAAATGATTTCTGAAAAAAATCTATGCTTTGTTATTTGGCAATTGATTCTATGTTATGTATGAACAGCGTATTCTAAATGACAAACGTCTTCAACATGAGCGAAGGAGAATTTATCGGTTAGAATATTTATGACACTACTACTTGTTTAAGAATCGATTATATGTGTTCTCAACATTAAACATTTCATCAAAGTACGTCAAAGATATCAAGATAGATAAACCTGGATGGAAAGAGATTTATCTTTCATTAATTTAAGGATTCCCCCATTTAATATTAATTTTTTTTAAGGATTGATTTTGCTTTCATATATTGTTGAAAATATGCTGATTAGGCGTATGTTTAGACGTGTCTCAATTCGTTTCCTCATTGTCAATGAATTCCTTTCCTCTCTTCGATGGGATGAGGGAAATCAATAAAATGAACGCACTTTTTTAGGTTTTTTTTCTTTTTAAAGTTTAAAACTATTCATGCAGTTTTAATATATAATTTTTCTATTAAAATCAATTACACATTAAATTATAATACGCTCTCTTCATAAATGTTTATCCTTTTATTCTGTTCTTTCTACACCATTCTTAATTTTTATCTTTCTTATTAATACATATATTTTTCATTTTTGTAAATTAAATATTTTTTACAACTATATATATTTCTGTGTAACTGCATGATGATAAATATTTCAGCAGGGTTGGAATTATAAAGCATTCCCTAATACCTCTATTGGTTAAGTTAAGAAACTAATTTTAGAAAGTGATGACAGCAACTATATCCACGCTAAAAATAATGTTGTCAAGTCTTTATTCTGTGCATATATAGTCATATCAAAAAGACTATACAAAGTCACAACGCAAGCAGTGTATATCTTCTTTCTACATATTGACCAACGACCATATTCTTGTTGATTGATGAACATATCATAGAGGGAAATTGCATTTTGGTATATATTCCAAAACGGTCGTTGCCCTCTAAAATATGTAATGAAAAGCTAGCTATTTTCAAGAATCTCATCATCGCAAAGTAGAAAAGCTGAGTTTTGTGGCGAACCTTGTGCGTTATGACTTGAACTAGGGGAACCCTAAGTGCTGAGAGATATGCAAGAAGTTATCAAGTTGGTCGTTGAACAGTGACCATTGGATTATTCCAACTTTGTTAAGTTCAACAATGAATGAATATCATCTTTAAATTATTCTTTTTTGTAATTAATTTCTTTCTTATCCCTTCTAAGTCACTTTTTTTAAAGTAGTTCTTTAATTTGACAATCTGAAATAAGAACAACAATAATAATTTTTAAAAAAAAGATAAAGAAAATATGCGAATACATATGTTTAGTAAGATTCCGACCTGAAACATTTAGAACAATATTGATTCTTATCTCCAAACTAGCTAGCTCAGCTGTATAAGTAGGACTTAGGTGATGAAATTAGCTATATAAACATCATACACCTACCAAAAAATTGGGTCCATCAAAGCATTTGCCACACATATATAACATCAACTTGACATTTATTAGATAATAGATGTTCACCCCCAGTTCAACAGTAAATTCATTTTTATATATTATTTTATTGATTCAGGATCACCAAGATGGACTCTGATCAATATAGAAAAACCTGCACCGGTGTTAAGCTCAAAGTGATTATAGCTCTGCTCCTTATTTTAAAATTAAAGTATATAAAATGCGGCATGAGTAGAGAACAGATCATTTCCCTCTTTTGGGTGGGGAAATTGGTGTATGGCCATTTACCTTGATCAAGAACGAGACACGTCTTTTCATGTGGCAACTAGACACTGAACATTAGTGTTTACTTCGTCAAGAGTCAGAGGACAGATTAACATTTAACGATAAGCATCAACATCTTAATTAGTCCCTTTGCAATTTTTAAACAGCTTATAATCAATAACCAAAGTATTGCTAATTAAGATAAGGCGCACTTTGTAAATGAGAGATTCATACAGGAATCTGGAGTCAATTCATTGTCAAATCAATAAGAAATTGTAATCAAGAGTTAAGGGCCATGCAGAAGAGGGTGCATGAAGAAAGTGGGAGGAACATAGTCCACAATTTATATGAGCGATGCAAGTGACTTGTAAGTTGTAACCTTTATCTTTTGTTACTGAAATAATTACTTCATCCACTGGGATTTACAGCACATGCATGTTTGCCACCCAACAATTTATGTTAAAAAAGCATGAAAACTATACCAAATCAGTGCTTATTTCAATTCTTTTTTAACACAGCAATCCTTTGCTCAAGCTAGTTTGAACTTGATCTAAAAGATTTAATACATGCATGTAAAATTCAAGCAAAAAAGGTGTGCATGCATGTGCAATAGATAAAGCGAAAGTCGAGGTGTAAACGGGGAACAATGAATAGTCAACTGACATGGTGGAATTAAAGTTGGTTTCGTTATACATCTTGACTATTATTATTTACTTTGCACTCTTCTTCAAACCCTTTCTCTAGTTAAAATTTTTTAGACTAGCATGGACCCATATCCTTCTTGGTTCTTCAGTGGCCTCGTGTCTCTCGTTTGCGGAGAAGAAAACTGTTAAATGGTTAATTAATGTAACAAATAGCTTGCTCATACGTATAAACCTAAGGGAATATTATTCCAATAAAAAAAATAATTCAGGTTTAATTCTTGAACTAATCATTTTGTGTTAAACTCACTTTAATTCATAAAAAGAAATCATGATCATTTCAAACAACTAAGAACTCAGATTAGAAATTACTTCGCAGAAGGTGACTATTTTTCTTCGTTTTATATGTGGCTGAGACTGAGTCAAGCTACTTATAATTTTATTCGTAACCATTTTCATTGTAACATTACCTGAAAATCTTTATGTCTATTCATTTATCTCTTCATAAATATTAGATAAAAATGATTTTTGAACACCAAGATAAGACACAGCCTATGGATAAAAGTATTGCTAGCTCAATGTAGCATGTGGAAAAAACAGCAAATATAAAATCTACATTCGCTTTTGCCATTATGAGTTGGTACTTAAGCACTATTAGGATCACACGTTTTAAAAGTAAAATATTAATGTCTCTTTTTGATTGGTTGTCTGACCAAACCGAAACACGAAAAGACACTCTAGCAATTTAGCACG